AGAAAGAAGTCAAATAAGAAGAAGAAGTAAGAAAAGTATGCAAGTATTTTGCTTTGTGAACGATTTGCTTTTATTGAATTGGCTATGGCATAAATTGCAACATTGGCGCGTTCGTTACGTATAGACAGCTGGAGCTAATATTAATCATCCTTAAAGGACACACAGTCAATGGATGTGATCAGTTTTTTTTTCGTGTGATTATCATCGATCAACGTACTCGTCATGACTCCTTCTCTCTCTCGCTCTCTCTCTCTTTTTCTTTCTCTATCTCTCTACCCATATGCCAGGCATTGCGCCGCTCATGTTGGCTTGGCCGCTCATTCAAGCAAAAGAAAATTAAAATAGAAAATTATATAGTCGTTGCGAGCGAATATTCAGGTGTCCGTACCGAGCCACAAAACTCTGTCCGCACTGAGCCATGTTACGAAATTTTTCTTGTATACTCGTAGTATCCCTTCACGTTTAATGGTTTTTTTTTTCATCTTATTTCGCTGATTCATAAACTTAAAATTCCTTTTGTTTTTTTTTTCTTCTCGGCATTGCAGCTCGGTAACTCGCTCGATACTTCAATGTCTTGTTGTTTTTTCGATGAAGGCTATTGCATGAAAAATTAAGAGAAAAAAATATTGCGCACAAAGCATTCGCACGATAACACACAGTGTGTCGATAGTGACGGCAGCTCTGAACAATATAATAACAGCAACAGCAACAGCAACAGCAACAAAAACCAAATCGCAGGAATTCACGTTAATAACATAGAATAAGTTCTACTTAGCGATTAAATGAGCACAAAAGATCTGCAATTTGAAACGGATAAGATTGATGATTCCAATCATAACATACGAGATGATTACTATTTGAAAAGACCTAAACTATAAAACAAATCAAGCGGTGCACCAACAATCGGTTTTTTTCTCTTCGTCGCTTGCTAACGACGAAAAAAAAAAACGAGAAGAAAACCATACGAACCACGACCAAAATAGAGAGTTTGGAATGTCATAAAGGAATTTTGCGCGCAAAAAAGTGTTTTGGTCGATGTATGTATGCGATGTACAGAGTGCTATCTGCGTCTCTGCTGCACCACAATTTGTCATCCATTTCGGACCAGGTATTCTGCGAATTGATAACAAATCAGAGCATTGAATCTGCTGGCTATGTAGCGCTGCTTTTGAACAACTGATGTCAACAGCGGCTGTTGGTTACGTTCTTGTGCATGCGACACACTGTAGGCCCCGCGCACCATTTCTAACAGGCATGAACATGCACGAACGTAGCATACACATAGCTCCGTCTGCATGTATTGGTTGGCGCGCGGCACTAACAGTGTGTCGCATGCTCAATTACGTAACCAACAGCCGCTGTTGACGGCATCTGGTCAAAAGCAGCGCTACATAGCCAGCAGATTCAATGCCCTGTAATAAATCGTGTAATTTATGATTAACATTATGATATACGATAGGTAATTATAGTTATCACACAATTCGAACACAAAATGACGACAAGCACTTGAGCCAAGGGGCGAATCACTACTGAAAAATTGAATTCAGTACTTTCAGTGCCCAATGTATAAGTATATGAAAGTACTGAAAATGGCATTAATTTTCGAGGAGAAAAATGAATAGATGGCAGATCTTTCAAAACAAATGTCAACTGTCAAAAATCCTGATCTGTTTTGATACTGAAAAAAACTGAAAAGTACTAAAAATATTTTTCAGTTTTTTTCAGTACTTTTCAGTTGTTTTCAGTGGATTTCAGTGCTTTCAGTCTTTTCAGTAGTGATTTGCCCCTTGACATGAGCTCTGTGATATTCACATCAACAAATTTTGATTGAGACAGTTTTTACTAGTTTGATTTTGCAAACGTTTGGTTAAGATATCTATCTTAGATAAGATAATAAGATAAGATAGATAGTATCTATTATCTTATCTAGATAATTTTTCAAAAATGTCGAAAATCTTATCTATTATCTTTTCAGTTTTTTTTCGACTATCTATCTGTCGTTTTTTAGATAAAAATAAAGATATTGTATCAGAGATTCGATCGATACCAAATGATGATTCACACTACAGATTTGTCTCACTTGTTGGAAAAATATACACATCCCATTTATAGAAAAAAATACACTTCAAAATCAGGGTAAATCATGTAAATCTTCCAACTGAAATTTTTTGTTGATTGGGATATTTTTCAAAAATTAAAGTTTTTTTGCCAATTTTCGTGCATTTTTCACAGAACAAAAAAAAATTGAAAAAAATTCATCCAATTGACATATGAATAAAGAATGATATATTTCTAAAAAGATTATCTTAAGATAGCTCAAAGATATCTATCTTTTTCGGAAAAAGATAAATTTAAAAAAGATATCTAGATAGATTTGGACATTTTTGAGATTATCTCGTTTTTATCTAGATATTTCTTCTGAGACAGAACCAAACGCTGGATTTTGCTAGTTGAAAATGAGAAGAAATTTAAAAAAACCAAAATTTTCCTCAATACGTTTTTTCTCAAATAATATGCTGATCCTGTGCAATGAATTTGACCAAATAATTTCACTGTTTTGGCTTTATTTTATTTTATTTATTTTTAAACCGATTAAAGTACATTTAAACTGAGATGCCGATTTCTGTTCTGTCACTTTTAACGCACCATTACATATATAAATCATTTGTCAAAGTTACTTTGTCGTGCGTTAGAGCCTTCATCGCCCCTTCAGCTTTGTTCTCGCATACAGTCAAACACTTGCTTTATTATGAGTCTTAATACAGTAGATGTTTGTGCCGCTACGATAAATGGAGAGAACGACACGTTGACTGTTTGCATTTCATTCACACGCTGCTATATGAATGTAGCAGTCGCCTCCAAACGAGTAAGAACAGAAATAATGTTCAATCATCATGCGCTTGTTGGTGTGTGTTTGTGCGTGTTTGTTTGTCGCTTGATTAGCGTACACAAATGTCAGTCAGCATAGATGTTGAACGTTTAATAGAAGTTTCTATACATATAAACGAAGAATAGCATGGATGGACATGAAATTGGATGTATTGGTGCGCAAATTTGACAGAATACTCAGTTTAAATTTTCTTTATTATACAGGTACAACACCAAATAATAATCACAAACCAATTTTTCCAACTATATCACCAAAGATCATTTTCATTCATCGAATGAAATGTAGTTTGTACGTTGGAAACGAGTTTCCTTTCTTTTGTTGCACTTTAACAGGTTTTGAATATAACAGTTGAATTGACTTAGCCCATAAATGTCTGGGGCCCGTTGCACCGTACAGCTACAATAATTGTAAACTTGTTAATTGCAAATCTGATTTACAAGTCTACAATTTCTTGTAAAGTGCTAGTTTTTAAGCATTTGCAATAAAAAATAGTTTTTACCTGATAAAATTCTTTTTATAAAGTCAATTCGTGAGGCAAAAGTGAAATAATTCATTTAAATATTATAAAATAATTACTACTTTGGGGTGGTTTTTGTACTTTTTTCACTTTTTGACCTCTGCTCTTCAAACTGGGTCAACATGGGAGGCCAACACTATGTGCCAATGAAATCTTTGGGACCAGCCGCAACTTTCGTAAACATAGTAATTATTTTATAATATTTAAATGAATAATTTCACTTTTGCCTCACAAATTGACTTTATAAAAAGAATTTTATCAGGTAAAAACTATTTTTCATTGCAAATGCTTGAAAACTAGCATTTTACAAGAAATTGTACACTTGTAAATCATTTTTACAATTCTCTGTAAAATTGTAAATCATTCTTACAAGTTCTTGTAAACTTGTAAATCAGATTTACAATTTACAAGTTTACAATTATTGTAGCTGTACGGTCCCTGATCGAATTGGTTCGATCAATTCGAAGAATACACTTTGAACATATAAACTGTCTAGAGGCTAACTTTAAAAGTGGGATTGGAATCTGTGAAAACATCGTACGCCAATGCGAATCTTCATGCTGTTTAACTTTGGTTTGTCAAGCCGTAAATACAACAATAATTGAGAAAATAGTCAAAATGTCTATTGCCGGAACAAAAATCGGGTGCATAAATATTTAATGTATAACCGTAAACTGACTCAGTGATACCGGTTTGAAGAAACGATAGTTTTACGATAAAGTAGCGCACATTTGCACACACAACAAAAATGTATACCTTAAATTGGGCTATATGCATTGTATCATAATTTGTATCTACATATATTTCATTGCTTTACGGACAAATCTGAACCAAATTTCTGTTTTACCTTTTTTTGCATGCAATTTTCATTCATAATTGCCCAATATCATCATATTGATGCTATATAAAATTCATCATCCAAAAATCGATTGCAATAACCCAAATGCATTTCTTATACAATATCGGCATAACGAACGCATATATAGAATACTGTTTGTCCAGTCAAAAAATCAAAAATAAAAACAACAACAAAACATTTTCGTAAACAAAAATATTATCGTCATACATAAGGCATGAGAGAGACCGATGAACGAAAAGAAGAAGAAGAAAATGGCAAAAACCAATAATATTTATCAAGTGAAAAGAAAAGAAGCTCGGTTGTTTGTAAATAGAGTTATGCGATATTAAGATTTACTGGATAATAGGAGCCGTTCTCAACGACCAATCAAATACAACTATAGCCATACTTATTTCATGCCGAGCAAAATAATGAATTGTGATTGGTGGCTGGCGTCATGTTTATTTTTATTTATACACATCACACTCTACATCGCATTACAGCTAACAAACATACACATGCAAACACACATACACACATACACACACACGTTAGGAGAGACAGAGTCACGCAATGGGCACGCTAAGAAAGGTAAACATAATAAAACGAACCGACTGGCTACGGCTTACATATATTGCAACAAGAGAAGTGGGGGGCTTTTTCGTATACGCGAACCATTCAATCGATGTTTCTGCATAATAATTTCATGGATCTGAAGTGTCTAAAGTTTAATTCTGATCATGTGTTCGATCGCAATTTCATACACAAATATGACATATTTTATGTATAAAAGATATTTTAAGTTATGTTTAAAGCATAATTTTTCAACTATTCATAAATATTCAATTAACAAAAATATGATGCAAAGTAATATTTCATAAATTCATGTCACCTGGAAGACATCCAAAAGAAACACATCATTAATTTTTGAGGCTGTTATTATTTTATTTTAAATTTATTGAATGATTTTCAATAATGCAACACCATCGGCCTTTTGATACTGATGGTATTTTTGTTATCGTTATTGTTGTTGGAATATTTCGACTCTTTGAAAGTTTTGGTTAAACCAAACCGGAACTCTTGCTTCAGTTGTACTGGGTACCACTGCGACTAATTCGATAAAAGTAGTTGCTCTCGTTCGGTGATTGTGGTTTTGATAGTGGTATGAATGTGTCTTGTGCCAACTTTTGCGCCAACATTGGCATACTTTGCTCGTCGTCGGCGATCGAAAGTAGTTTCATGAACAAGCCTTCATCATTATCCAGCGCCAAATCAAAACTTTCCCATGAAATGAATTTGATATCGTTCTCGGTTACATCTTCAGTAGCCAATAAATGGTGCAACGATTTCGAGTCGAATGGATGAACACTGTTGTAGTGTTTTATTGTTGTATCGCGTTTTTCGGTATCCATCTATGAGGAAATAGTATGATCGTAATTGAAATTGTGTGAATTTCGTTTTTGTTGAATTCAAAAGACATGCTCAATAACATGTTCTTAATGTAAAAGAGAAAGTTTCAAAAACATAAAATTTCCTAATTTATTCCATTGACGCAAATGCTAATTTTGAACCAACAAAACGAATATGTACTTACGCTATCCGATCGTCCGATACGTGGTACACTCTTTGACGTTTTTAAGAAGAAATTTTCAAAATCACTGAGTTGATGCGATCGACGGCCCAACCGGGGCACATTTTTTGTTACTTTCAAAAAGAATCCAGGTGTTTCCGAATTCATTGTATTACTATTGCTGCACAGAGCGCAATCGAAAACGGTCAGCAACAGACACAGCGAAATATATTTCGATAAAATTGGTAACAACATGATGTCAGCTTAAGATTTTGAACTGGAAAAATGCAATAACGAATTTTCTACTCTCTTGTCTTGAATTCAAGCACCGACTAGATACTCATTACACGATAAGCGATTGTATTTATAGTAGCAAATCATCCCGCATACCTTTGTCTCTCGAGTTTCTTTTTTTATCCATGTTTGTACGTACTTCTTTCAAGCAATAAATTCATACAGTTTCGCTAAAATTTATTCTAATTGGCACAAAAAAAAACGGTTTATTCCATTAGTTTCGACAATTTTGGGCACGGCTCTTATTTGAAATTACATAATGCTGGTCAATGACATTGTTTGAATAGCGACACGAAGTGCTTAAGTGGCTCATTCTGCCTTGTACTTTTTTTTTGTTGCTCGATACAAACAGTGATATCGATCGAACCCACAGATTCTATATGCGTTTGACTGAATAAACTCTGATGACAGTTTTATTGAACTTTCGCTCAGTTAAACATTGGAATGAATCATTTCTATCGTGGAGTTTTCTGAATGCTGTGCAAATGTTCATCTTTTTTTATTAGCATTTTCCATATTGAATATACTTATTGATTTTTTATGCATTTAAAAAAAAGAGTCTCTGATGATAATGAAAAACGCATTCATTTTGCTGCAAAAAATATAATTTTATTTTTAATCAAACATCACAAAAACATATGGAAAATAGCCAATGCTTTTTGTTTAAAATCTCGAATTTGAATATTATGAAATGATCGCTTGAGCGTCTTGATCGATGGTTTGAATAGCACCAACATCCATGATCGTCATGTCACTAAAATTGGGGTTACAAACCAAAATTGTTGTTGGTTTCATGTCTCTATTTGATGTGATTTGTGGATCGACTACATAAATAACGTTTGTGTCTGTCTCATTTTCCGACGCTAGATAATTGTGATCGGCTTCATTGGGAATGTTCAATTGTTCTTCAAGAATGTTTTCGTTGGACTGCCCCTCAATTATATCCTATAAAAATAAGGAAACATTCACATTTATGTTAGTCACAAAATTCTTTTTGATATTTACATCTTCGACTGGTCCAGGCATAACGTAAATGATTTGTTGATTATTTTGGCGCTTCTTTGGCTTTGGACTGATTTTCGTTTTTTCCTCCACTGATTCATTTCTCATTGGTTTTTCTTCTTTAAATAAATTGCACATGTCTCCATCTCCCTCTGTATATACTTCCATGTTGACATCTTGTCTATCCATTGTGTAGCAATTCGAATGCTTAAGCCGTTGATGACTATTCAATTCCCACTGCGTTCGATATTCTTTTTTACAATTATCAACGGTGCACGGAAACCTGCCACAAATCAATTAAAATGGAATAGAACATTTTTAATTCGATGTGAATTGATTGAGCAATAACCAGTTTTAATCATACCCCTTCACACCTAAATGTTGTTTTACGTGGTTTTTCAACACATAGGCTCGCTTGAATGTTGATGCACAATACGGGCAGCTATAAGGTCGGTTATTTGAATGACTTCTGTAAATGTAATTGCACGAAACAAAAAACAAAACGATTTTAATGAGCAAAATTCTCATTTTGAAATTGATTGGAAGGAAACTGGGGGTTTACCTTCGATGATCGTTCAGCATTGAGGCAGTTCGATATTTTTTTGCGCAAACAGCGCATTCGTATGGTGTTTCGGCTGTATGCATTCGTTTGTGATCTCTGAAGTCTTTTTTCAAGTAAAACTCTTTGCCACACTCATCACATGTGTAGTTTTTAATTTTGAAATGGATCATTTCGATGTGTGATCGGACGCTGTGCCGTGTCGCCAATTGTTTGCCACAAATATTGCATACCATTGATTGGTCTAATTTTCGAAAGTATTGGTCCACTTCAGCCGATTTCTTCGATCGAACTGATTCATTCTTAGACTTTGTCCTTGACTTAGGCTTCTTATCTGGCTCCGGCTTCGACTCTGGATTTGCTTTTGGCTTTGGATGTTCGGCTTTGACAACATCATTGTCAGTTGAATGCATTTTTTTCTGATGGTTTTTCAAAACATACATAGTTTTGCATTCAAAATCACACAATTTGCACTTCATTGCGGTGGACGAATGGACCGTTTTCTTGTGGTAGCTGAAATTCCAGCTCTGATAGAATGTCTGTTGACAATCGTTGCATTTGTAAATTGATGGATTAATCAGATGCACGGTTTTTCGATGGTTCAGCAGATCGCTCCAGTGGCGATAACGTTTGAAGCAATCATCTACATCGCACATGTAGAGTCTTTGTACCGGAAATTTAACCTGTTGGCTAATGTGTGTGTTTTTATGTGTCTTCAGTTTGCTGTACGTTTCGTAACAAGCCATACAAAAACCACAAACAAATGGTTTTTCATCGTTTGCATGGATTTCTTTGTGCTGCACAAGTTTTTGATTGTTAACAAAAGCCGACTCGCAATACTCACAACAGACCACATAGAATATGTCTCGTTCAATGATATTGATATTGTCGTTTTCGTGCAATCGATTGCAATGCTCATCGATATCTTCGATACCACCAAATGCCATCGAACACGGTTCACAAACTAACACACGATTCTTTTGCTGGCGCTCGTGTGTCGTCATATGTTTTCTCAATCGAGACGATCGATTGTAGACCTTTTGGCAAACGGAACATTCGAGTAGTTTCTCAGTTTGCGCCCGAACCGAATGCTTACTGGAAATATGCTCATCGAGCATATTCTTATCGACAAATGACTTATCACATGAGCTACATTGAAACGTTCGTTTGGTTCGTTCGTGATGTGTTCGGTTATGCAGCTTCAGGCGGAAATTTGATGAAAAACTCCTATCACATTCGCCACAAAAATATTCGTAGACACGTTCATGCGAAAACATTACATGATCGTAAAAATATTCTTCGCTATCGAATGATAATTCACAGATGATACAGATTTTTGGACGCGCATTTTCCAAATGAAATTGAGTGTGGAATAAATATCTGAAATTTGAGAAGAAATCAAACGTTTGTTTGTATTTGCATAGAAATGTGGATTTTTCTGTTCAAAATCGGTTCAGATTGACCGAATGACGTTAATTTGCCATTTTAATGTAAAAACTCCTTATCTACCGTTTCTTCGAGCGCAATTTCTTATCACAGTTGGCGCACTGAAAGTTGATGCTGTCGTCTTCGAACGTGACGCACATATGTTTGCCGAATTGAACTGAAGACTTGAATGTTCTCTCACATGTTTGGCATGTCAGACATAGCTGAGTTCTGGAAATTAGAAATATATCTATTGTTGAAATGGCGTTTTCAATATAAAAAAAAACTAAGCAATAAATATACAGCGTTTATTCCCTACACACGCTGATAATGAACATGGCATGAACGCAGCGTGTGTAGGGAATACACGCTGTATATTTGTAGCGGAGTTTTTTTTTTATTGAACATTTTCTTTTTGAAATTAAAGAAAAAACGTTATAAATTGAAGTGAACTCACGGAATCGAATCAACATGGTCATGAAATATGTGTTCTTGAACCTTGACTAAATCTTCAAATGGTGGACAATTTTCACCGAACGGGCACAGAAAACCGTCTGCCAGCGAATGACTTTCGTGGATGTGATAGACCAGGTGCTGTTGGCTTATTATCACCTCGGAGCAGAGCTAAACGAAATTAAAAATGGATTCGTTAGGATTAATTCAGAAGCAAAAAAATGGAAAGCTGGTGGCATACCGTGCAATTGATATAATTTCCATATTCATAAGTTTCCTCATAAGTTATCGATGCGATGGATTTCAAATATTCATTAATATCAACTGGATGGGCGTCGTAGCGGTATTCAAATTCACTGTCATTGTCACTATCGTGAGAACTTTTTGTGTATGTGATTACGTTGTGATAATCGTCCTCCAAAATATTCATCAAATCATCGGACGTGGCAATTTTTTGCACATCTAAATTCTGGCTATTTGCTTTCCTACCTCTATTTTTCGTTCGAAAGGTATGCCGTGGTATTCCAGTTGATATCTTTTGCTTGATTCTCATCACATCCTCTGGATTATCTAAAATTTCATTTGATAAATTAAAAATTATGCCAAAAGATGGCAATGGAATTCGAAATTTTGCCAAATGCACAAGGTCAAAGGTTGTATTTACCGATTTCCAGTATGAAAATCGGTTTCACAATAATCGATGTGAACTCGAATTGCACTTTTTTCCGCTCAATTTCCGCATTCGTTTCGCATACATTTTCTTCGTCGAATGAGTCATTTTCCTCTAAATATTCCACATCCATTTCATATTCATCCGGCAATTCGTATTGTGATTCATCCAGATATTCACTATCCTCATATCCATCTTCAGTTTGCAAGGATTCATTTTGTACGGATGTTTCGTCATCTTCATTATCTTCATCATTGTCATTGTCATCACTGGTTATCTCATTGGCACGAATGCATTTTTCTTTAAATTCATTGTATTGTATTAACTGTTGCCAGCACACATCACATATAACATATTTTATTCCATCCTGTTCTTTCAACGATTTCCCGATGTAATCGAGCAAAACGGCAGCAATATTTCGTCTTTTGCCCTCTTCATCGAATACCAAATGAATTTTTGCTGCAGATGTCTTATTGCAGCATTGGCAACGATTTCCCTTGGATTTTTTCATTGCAATAATTTGTCCTGCACAGATTATTAATTGCATTGCAAAAATCATAACAGTCATATTTTGTTCATTCAGATTCAAATCCAGTTTACTACATACAAATACTTACAGTGGAACAAAAAACAGGCTATCTCCAATGTTTTGTTGTATATGTGGCCAAAACTCAAATCGAACCGGTTCGATTAGGCGAAAAGAATACCATCTCAAACGGATGTTTCAAATTTATGATTGAAACTTTTCAACAACACAATATACACATCGATAAAATGAAAGAGATTTGCCTAAAACATGAATCCTTTCAAGGAATGGTTTTGTTCGGATTATTTCTTTATACTATGTTTGTTTTGACACTGACACATCGAATGTTGACAGTTCAGCGGTGCAACTCGAAGACCCTATTGAAAAGAACTGTGCTTAGTTCATAACGCTTTTTTCATCATATTTAATATTTTTTATTCATTTTTATCTTTGTCTCTCCATGTCTCTCTCTCTCTCTCTCTTTAAACTTTATAAATAAGAACAAAAATTTTTTTCTTTCTTTCGTATGTTAAACACTCTTGTTTGGAAATGATGTAATAGTTTTCTGAGGGAAGTTGTGATCTAATTCATCAAATAAATTGCTGATGATTAAGAAAATAATTGTCTATTTTTCAAGTTAAATCGACTATTGTATAAAATAAATTAATGGATTTGCTTGAACCGGAATGTGATAAAAAAGAAAATGCATAATTAAGTTCAGTACAATTTTTTTGTATCAATAGAGCAATTATAAAAATAGCTGGAAAAAATGTAGACGCTTCGTTTTATTCGCTAGTTTTGTGCATGCCGAATTTTTTTTTAAATAGTTTTTTTCTCTCATTTTTTTTGGTATAATTTTGTAACGAAATCTCTGGATTTGCGGTTTACTTCTTCTTTTTGGCGCTCTTTGCTCGCAACTTCTCTTCACGCTTCCGCTCGCGATCGGTTAATGACTTGTACAGTTTATAGCCAAAAAATGCTGCGAAAAAAAAAAAATTCCATTAAAAAAAATGCGGTAATATGTTGTTTATGAATTCAATTGTTATTTTCATGATTCAAGTGAAGACGATTCGATCGAATGTGATTATTTTTATGTAATTTTTGTTCTGATGATTGTAGTGATTATTAGAATTTTCCTAACCAAAAATTGAAATTAGAAACGCCATAACGACGAGAAACAGGACAAACTCATGATAAGTGGCCATTGGTCGCTCAGTTTTTTTCATGTTGGCTAGCAAATTTTTCAGATCCAAGTAATCATCTGCTTCAAGAATGTCTTCGAATCGCTCATGGAACTTCTCCACATTTTTCAGAAATCTTTCTGTATCCAAATTTACGATATTTTCACGTAGTACTTTCTTGAAATCTTCTAATTCGTCGCGTGATGACATTTCTTGTACCCAATTTTTTCCGAGTCGAGATAATAAAAAGGAGCAGTTTTTCAAACTCTAAATTTCGGATTTTTGACACGTTTTTTTTTTTCTTCTCGCAATGGAAAAATAAAATTCCACATACGGTCGAGACAGTTCAATAATATAAAATTGAATGTTGGTCGTGATCGATGGCAGATCCATTAAAAAATATCTTTGTATATTGTCGTGAAATGTGTTTTTTATTTATTCAGGCAAAGCAAAAAAGAAATTCTTTCTGCATTTGGTTTCGTAAAAAATTGAGGTGGGCATATATCAGCGTGCAATATCTGTTTTCAGTTGAATGGCATCGTGTGTAATATCGTGTAAAAGGTGGATTTTAAACGAATTCATCTGAAAATTCGTCGATGATACACATTCCTTTTGATGTGTATTCAAAATTCAATAATGTTTACCAATTTCATACGTAGCCAACAACAATTGCATGAAATTTATTATTATTTCATTTCAAAGGAAGCTTTGAACATCATATTTTCGCTACTGAATTAAAATTATTTTGAAAGGAAAATGCAATAATTGAAATCGAATGAACACAAAATCATAAATGAGTAGTTCGGAGAGAAAATGTAATACAAAAGTGTCACATGTGATGCGGTTGAAATGAAAATGAGACTTTCGTCGCTCAATACACAGAAACGAAACAAAAATAAAGCAATCCATTAAAATGGAAAAGAAATCCGTAGGAATGAAATCAAATTCATTCATTCGGAATTACGAAAACCCTTTTTTCAATTTTTTTCAATTTTTGCAAAACTTACACTGGGTAAACTCAGAAATGTGGGCCACTTACAGCCCTAAGATTTTGGCTCTCCCATTTTCTATCGAAAACAAGACTCCAAGCCGATTTTCAGCCAATTCGGCGACCTCACATTACAACTCTTCTCTGATTTCGTGTGGAATTGCCGACATGATATAGCATGGCACTGAATAAATAAACAGAAATGTATTGAAATTTACCGGGCCATGTCAATGTTTTTTTCAATTCATTGATTTCAATTTTGTTGTGCTCTATTCATTCTGTCTAGCAAGTGTTTACCCGAATGTCTCTATTATTGGTATGGAACACTTGTGCTATGCAAATATGTGCATTATGAAATTCGCTTATGGAATATTATATTGGAAAGTATCGCTCATCAGCGTTGGGCATATCAGCCCAATCTTCTTCAAATTTTGTCCACGTTGGACAATTTTCCTTGTTGACACGTTGATATCAAGTCACTGATTATCGTCCAAAAAACGAATGATTTCGAACGATTTTGCTTCGCCATATCGTTAAACGATTGAATAGCGTAGTTAATAACTTGAGCACATCGATGGAATATTGACAATTTTTACTTTTGCCAAATACACTGAGACAGCTGCCAAAAAAAACGTTATCGAGTACAATGCATCGCTCTTACCGGCAAGACCAGCAACAACAACGGCTGGCAAAATGAATACAGCATTTGGGAATCCATGTTGGAATGGGTCATTTGCTCCGCTCAATTCGACCATGATTTCAGGCTTTAATTTCCTTTAAAAACTAACGCGTGTGAATGGACCAAATAATAATAAAAAAAAAATTAAATTAAAAAAAACGAACGATGAAAACTTGAAGACTTTACGCGCACACAAGTTCACGGAACCGAATGAACTAAATTCGCTAAAACTGTTGTGCTTGACGGTGCGTTGAAAAAAAATCTTAACACGTATGATGTGCATACAAATACACAGACAAACAAAAAGTTAACCGAGATAGTTTGGTCCGTTTTTCTTTTTTCAAATTATCATTAAATTGTCGATTTGGACAAGCAAGACCAAAGTCAAATCAAAAATAATAGAAAGACACACACATACACGCCGACATATAAATCTCGCACTCCAAAACAATACATCAACAAATGAAGTGGAGTTTTAATTTATCTCTCATTGACACTGTGGAACATTCATCGAACAAATCAACATCATCATCATCATCATCATCATCGTTGTTATTGTTGTTGTTGTCATCATTTGGAAAGCCGAGAATTCGTTTCGTACACGTTTGCATCTACGACTACCGCAAGCAGCGTACACACTATTTGTCCCTTTCGCTCGCGTTGCTACGATTATCTGCCGATGATATGATTTTCTTCTGTTCGACACACTTTTCGGCGTCGAGTTGTCAGCGGCTCAAGAGAATTACCAACCAAATGTGTATGTGATAAGCGGACCAAATGAGAGACCGAAGAAGCCATATACAGGACAGAGTACAACACCACTAGCAACAGTCATATGTTTTGTGTGGTTTGCATTGAAAACGTCTTATTATTGTGATGGCGCTACTCATACTTGCACACATTTCAGCAATTCAGTTCAAGTTCACCTAACCTTTATGTTTGCTGTGTGTTCTTGTTCAAAATACGCGGGAAAAAGAGTTGTTTACTTTCTTTCGTTGTGACTCATTTAGATCAGTGAGTGAGTGAGTGTGTTTGTTTGTTGAAGTGAGAGATCAAAATGAGTAAAACAGAAATGGAATTGACCGTGGAATTTCTAAAACACCGCTTAAAATCCGATCACACAACATTTATTGGCAATGATTCGGAATATCGTCACATAAATGATTTAATTGCTCGCACATCGGATTGCGGAGAATCAAATTCGGCACTCATCATTGGCACAGCTGGCAGCGGTAAATCAACTGTAAGACTTGCGTTGAATTGTGTACATTTTTGTGTGCCAACTAATTGTTGTTATTATCAATTTCTAGATGATCTTGTCGATATTGTCGAAATTACTGCCCAAAGACAAATTTCGTGAAAATACAATGATTGTCAATTTGAATGGTTTCATTCATACCGATGATGCGGCTGCACTTAAATCCATTACCAAACAAATGAAACTGGAAACAGCCGTAAATGGCAAAGTGTTCACCACGTTTGCTGATAATTTGGCATTTCTTTTGGACTGTTTAAAATCAGGCGATCGCAGCAGATCAAAAAGTGTCATTTTCATATTGGAAGAGTTCGATTTGTTTTGTGCGCATGGAAATCAAACGTTAATCTACAATTTGTTTGATGTGGCGCAATCAGCACAGGCACCAATCTGTGTCATCGGGTTGACTCGACGTAACGACGTCATTGAATTGCTAGAGAAACGAGTGAAATCACGATTTTCCCATCGACAAATATTTCTATTCAACGAAGTCTGTGATGTTGATGCCAAAATTGATGTTTTCTTGGATTTGCTCAAGTTGCCTGATTTTAAGGTAAATGCATTGAGTATTAAAAAGTGATTTTTAGTTTGAAAAAAAAAATTTAAAGCAAAATGTGGAAGAGGGATTAAACGAAACAAATTTTAATTCCGCTTTAAATTTCAGATTTACGACAATGCTGAATACAAAACCATTAAAAAGTTTTCAAAACTGTCAGATATTCCACTGTTGAGAAATGATTTTGATGGGAATGATTACTTCGGATTGGTTAAGAAAGACTTCATCACGAGATGGAACAAGGAAATCAATGGACTGCGAACAAAAAAAGAAGTGGTCGCTGATTTAGAGGCGTTGTTCGATCACAATGGAACGTTAGCCGTACAAAAAACCTTACTGTTTCGTATAATTTCCGCTATTGATGGTTTAAACGAATCGAAATGTGTGATCAGCACATCAAAAATGGCTGCAATAATTCACCGTATCATCGCCGATGACTATTTGAACAACAATAGCAAAGTGAATATAATACGAGATTTATCCATTTTAGAACTGTCACTGATGATTGCAATCAAACATCACAATGACATTTACGACGGTGATCCATTCAATTTTGAAATCATCTTGACCCGCTTGCATAAATTCCAAAATTCAGGTGACTTTTCCACTGGGCCAACCGACCGAGCGGTTGTTCTCAAAGCCTTCGACGTTCTAAAGGTATGTCCATAGGAAATTCATAAATTGTTACATTATTGACTGGTTGAAAAACCATGAATTTCATTTCAATTTTGTAAAATTGACTTGGATTTTTTTTTTTAAGCAGCATCTCGGCTTGATAGTGCCATGCGGGAATAGTTCGAAAGAGTTAAAGGAATTCCAAATGCATCGACAGCAAATACAAAATGTTCAAATTGACAAAGCTGTTGCACAATACAAAAACCTGCCAACGCGTATCATGCAATGGGCAAGTAGTTCTCAGGCATAATTCCAATGATTGCATTCTAAGTGAGAGATTTTCCGAGTGTCATGTTATTATTTATTATCTATGCTTACATTTTCTTCATCTTTATGTAAAACCAATTAAACGAATAAATGAAGAAAAAAAAGAAAATAATTTATTCATATCGGCAAAAGTTTCATAAATACATTAGACCAACAAAATGAAGGGAAAAAAAATTCGACAATTTCTATATTTATAGTAGATATGAAATATCCACACGAATTCGCTTTTGTTAGCAGAAATAACTACAATACAATACAATACAAATATGAGTCTGAATGGCACTTACAAATAATCATAGATGATGTAAAATTTTGTTCAATTAGCTAATTGTTTTTTTTTTCCCGGCTAATACATTCGGACATTTGGAAAACATGGAAAATGGAGCGAAAAAACAATACTCATATATTGCAGGAGATGGAAATAAATGAGATTCATTGGCTTAATAACTAAATTTACTTTGGTAACTTTATCCAATAAATGAATATTTTACAATATAATTTAAAATAAAGCTCTCGAAATTCACAACATTTACAAATAAAGCGCATAAATCAACCTGGGCTTAAATAAAGAGAATAAAATAATGACATTGATTAAAAAACAATCAAAACAGAATATCAATCAATCAATCAACTACATATTAAAGTGTCAGGTAAACTTTGGAATTTATATCATCATCGAATTGATTTGTCATCGGGTTTGTTGTATATTTTCATAAATGAGTTTTGTTAAGAGGAATACTGCAGCATTTTTGCTTGACCATCGCACGAAATATTCACCTCGCTAGGCGCTTGAATCCATGGTTCACCATCGGCCTGTACTGGAAATGATTCTCGCATTCGAATGCGAACGCTACGCGCCTGACCCAATCGGATCGGTTTGTTGAGACCGACTTGTAATTGGGCCATATGAAATGATGACACAATGCCCATCACTTCGATCACACCATCCGATATACTTGATTTAACCGGATCGTCTTCATCAGCGCTCATCACTGCAATCGCAAAGAAACATTCATTTTAATTGTTTGCTTGAATTCATTTCGATTAAAGATACTTGATTAACGTAGAATTTTGACGAGAAAAAAACTAATTCCAGAATTTAATTTAAAGCTCACCCCACAAATTTACACCTGCAGCCCAAGAATCGATATTTATACAGACGACCGCTTGTAATTCGGGCAAATCGATTTTCTCACCATCCAAGTAAACGTCAATTTTCTTCTCAAGACCAACACAATCGGGTAGAACCACTTGATGTGTTCCGAAGCATAAATATAAAATCTATCAACAACAAACAACAAGTATTATTGATTTTTATCCAATTTTTTAATTGAACAAATTGCAAACGTTTAAAATTTACCTTGTTAAAAATTCGGCTACTTATCATATAAAATGGGCTCTCACGAGCTTTGTGGAAATTGAATGTGACTTGTGCATCAACACCCACGCTAAAATAGTTGTACGTGTGCAGTTTACGATGAGGTAACCAACTCATATGCAGTCGACGTGTCGAATGACCTTCAATTTCGACGAGCCAACGATCCAATTGTACTGTTTCAGCGCTACGAATCTATTCAAAGGCAGAATATCGAATTTTAATGGAATAATTTTCATTACATAATAATGCAATATGGTGAACTTACTTTTTCGCACAGTTCGGCTGGATTTAAAACAGCTGGTGGAACACCACCCCAACCAAGAACACGAGATAGATCGTTGCCCGTACCAATCGGTAGGATACAAACTTCTGGAATCGGTTGAATATTTTTTCGCGATATTTCGTTCAGTATCCAACCGATAGTACCATCTCCACCAGCCACTAGTATACGGCAAGGCGTTGATCGGATTTTACTTATCAAATTAAGCGCTGTATTCGGTCCCGATGAGCTTAATTCGAATATTTGAATGGGATTCAATACGCTTCTGAACACAGCAATCACATTTTCAGCCGTATTATCACCCGATTTATTGTTTGCTGCAAATGAAATGCACTTCATTTAGTCTCGCCAAAATGCCCCATCAATTTCAATATCATCAATCCTGGTCACAATACATACCGACAACAATAAGTGGTTTCCAATCAGGCCAATCGGGCTGTAGAAAATGGGTGACTTGATGATGAAGGCGACGATGCTTAACGAATACATGGTTTGGTGGAATGATCATATCCTTGAAGGTACCAAAATCACAGACTTTGTCATCGGCGGTTTTTACAAAGCAATTAACATGAGTGCTACGCTGACACCAACAACATCGATAGCCATACAATCCAGGTCGTCCATGATAATCAACAACACGATCACAAATGTAGCACGTATAGCATTGTGTTAGATTTCCCTTCACCCATAGATGCTGTTGTTCACTAACAACTGGTTCCAATCCATCACTTGGTTTCACCACCAAGTCCGTTGAGGTTACTTTACATTTCAACACTTTTTCAGCCATCGTGATACAAAGTGTGTCAGAGCATACACCACAAGCTTCACAATAAAACCCGCTGGACGTTAACATTATCTCGCAAATTGAACAGTAACATGCCTGGATTGAAACACAAAAATGGTGATTCTTCGTTAGTGCTTAGTTTGCAAGGAAAAAAAATCGATTTTTTGACAAATGGCCAGAGAAACAAAAATAAAACTCACTCGATTCAAATGTTTTACATGGCGCCAGATATGTACTCGTTTCTTTGGTACGTGTACAATATCGAACAGCATCAACAATTTTCCGATAGACCATAAGGCGAACACGATTCCACATATGATACATGTTTCGAATAGCATGATTTCACTAATTATATCAACACACCAATTGATTTAGAATAGACGATTTGATGGCGAATAATTCTCACAACCTTAGAATCTGTCAAAAATAAAATTGGAAACGAAAACCGATATTAATTAGGCTATGGATCAATAAATCAGTGTGCAAAAATTACGTACAAACTGAACATTGAAAAAAATATCGATCACTGTCAACAAGTTCGGAATAGTCGGAAATATGTGTGGTTTGCGAATGAAAAATCAATTGTTAACAAAAATCGCCGTAGCTCAGATTCAACCAAACAACAGAAAAAAAAACGAAATGTTGAATAAAGTCTATTCTGACTTGAAATTTCATAGAGTCTTATTGGTTTAAAAATGTTAAATGTCATCCGATGGAGGGAGCTGCTTGATGCCGAACTCTTCTCTTTTTCTCGCATCACATTTGAAGCAGCTGAGGAAAGAGAGCAGGACCAATATTCCAGCTAGTTCATGCCAATTCAAGTGTTTACAATAATGATGCAAAAATTGCGTTTTCTTTTCTACTTTGGCCAAATTTAATGAACTTTGGAACGCGAATTTCGAGATTATGAATAAAAAAAATGATGTAGGTTCTTTAAAATAGTTCTTTCATTCACCACCACCAAATGTGGTGATTAGCATTGTCTATGTGTGCGTATTATTTTTTTTCTTTTCTCTCTCTCTTTCATCGCTGAACTGTCAAACCGATTATATCAGTCATAAACATAAAACTTCATTGAGAGAAGACGAAACGAAGTAAAAAAAAACAGTAAAAGTAAACATCCATACACACACGAAACAGATAGTGCAAGCGAAAAAGGAAATCAGTCTGAATAAAATAGAACTGAGGACAATATTTCATTTGTTTTGATAATCTGTTGATTGATTACGATCGCATAGAATCGACTGACATGAGTGGAATAAATTAATTGTAGAAACAAGTGCTGCTTGTTGCATCGCATCAAAAATTATCGACTTGTTTATGCACACACAAAAAAAGAAAAAGGCAAGGAAAAACCCTTTCGTTTGAACACACACACACACATACTGTGTGCAGTGACATATTTGCGATAACTTTCACAAAGTGATTGAAAGTGCAGAACGAATAAGTTTTTGTTCTTTTTTAAATAAAGAAATTAAACTGTGTGTAAATCATGACATATTCGCCAAATAAAAATCTGTCACGATTTCATTCAGCCTGTCATGGGGTGAACATTGAACTGTTAGACGGGAATACTGTTGCGCATCGCAAAACCAGCTATGCGAATGGGCTCACATTTTCCGAAAAACCATTGCGATTAGGTGAAATATTTTTGCTTGAAATCAAGAAAAATGAGCGAGGTTGGTCTGGCTATATGCGATTAGGTAAACTGTCAACGCGATATTTAATCTGATTCGTGATTTTTAATAATTTCCCAATCACATACACACACATATATAGGTTTGACACAATTGAATCCAAATTTCGATGCATTTGGCATCGATGGATTGCCACAATATGCGTGTCCGGATCTTTCGAACAGAGGCACCAGTTGGGTATTCCCAATCACAAAATCCAGCCCATGCGGTTCGGCACAAAAGTATACACGACGACTGCGAAATAATCGACATTTAAATGGCTCATTTCAATTGGATGACGACAAAGATGAAGACGATGATGACGAAGATGATTCTGATTCAGACTACGAACTGAAATCAACAGGTTTGTCGATGAATATTATTAGCCCTATATTATTTCATTAGCCGTATACATTGTCAGTTTGATTGGAATTTTGATTGGAATTTCTATTTATCGAGTATAGTTAATATACTAGGAAATGAGGATTTGTATGTACGAACTACTAGAGGCGTTATACCACGACGGACGCTCAAACCGAACGCACCATACAGCTCAGATATGTTGCCCTCAGATACCGGGTACTTACGATTTCTTGTTAATTTTCGATTCACATTTCCCTATCTGCTTTCATTGTGTAATAAATAATCTTACTTTCGAAATCTATCGCAATTGCTCAGATCACGCATCGGAATGGTCTACGTACAGAATCCATCGGATGCAAACAAAGCTGAAATGCATTTCATTGTAAATGGTGAGGATCAAGGGCCATGCACAAAGGACATACCGTACAAAGAATCCGAACTATATGCTGTGATCGATGTCTATGGAACTACGAAACAGGTTAAAATCATTCAACTTTATGAAAGTGAGTAATTTCTTTGCAACACTTTTGCCTAGACCCAATGCAAATGACTCATTAAAATCGGTGTCCATTTGAATCGTTTCAGTTGCAACATTACAGAGTTTATGCTGCAACATGATTCTATCATTGGTTGATCGTAATTCAGGCGATGTGCAGAATCTACCGTTGCCGGTCAAATTGAAAAATTACCTGCTAAATTACTAAGAATTTGCTTGGGACAACGCGGTTGTGAGAAAACTACATAAGGAGCTTAAAAGCCTGGCGAAAGGATAATGATGAAATGAACAAAGCAATTACGAAACGAATATAAAAACAATTTGATCAACATATTGATAGAACCACGAAAAAAAAGTCATGTGAATAGCATCAACACTTTGTACTCACTATATGTATGTTTTTGAGGAAATCGGACAGTTGAGTCAATGTCATTTTTACATAGTGTTTTTCAGTACAAGCAGATTAAAAAAAAACTATTTTAAAAGCATTTAATATAGTAGATTGTCACACCTACAGCTAGTTACCGTACTATATGTATCAGCTTAAGAGGAAAAAAATCTGCTCTGAAAATGGTTTTTAATATACTTTTGGAATATACTTGACGCCGAATGCACTACTGTCCCCGGTACTGTTCCAGCCAATTTACATTCCAAATCGAATTATTTATGCGTTATTGATTTCCTCATTATCATCAATGGAAGATATGTTTCCAACATTTCTGAAATCATGCGAAACAAAAAAGATCAACCAAAATGATTTGTATTTTTCCAGTTCAGCATGTATTTATTTGTAATAAAAATAATATTGCGTCAAACAGTTAAATGCCTTGTTGTTTTGTATATTATTTTACGAAATTTATTTAGACGAAGGAGCGCAAAGTTTTTATCGTTTAGTCTTCCGGTTGAAAATGAGTTGCATTTCTGACAACAAACTAGAACACAATATAAGGAAATTGGTCGTTGGTTCCATGACTAAGTATAATTTTCATCATCGATTTTAATCGATATCGCATTGAATTGTATCACTTCTCGGTCAATATACCAATTTTCCATCACGAAAAGTTCATAGAAAACGCAAACAGCAATATAGTTGGAAATTTAAATACCCTGTTGAATTGCACGCGCTATGCAAATCCAATGCAACGGATTGGGAAATTTTGCGACTCTTTTCCACAGATTTAATAACTTGCACATGCTATTGAAGCCGTATTATTTTGGAATGAACAAAAAAAGGGATCACATGCGACAGCCGATGACGATGGATGAATGTGTCGCTCGTTTAAAATAGGCATACTTGTGTTACCATTTTTATTATAATTATATTGACCTTAGACGCAATTTTGGTGTGTGTTCAGTAAATGTTATACGCCGCGAAACAAGAAAACAAAACAATCCTATTCAATGACACCCATGAGCGATGAATTTGATTCTATTCCAATTTTGAGATTATACGTCGGAAATGATTAGACAAAAATATAATAATCGTTATCAAACCATCAAATCGTTTCGAACTTTGGAAGATAGATTTTAGTTCTAAAATTGTTTTTATCGCAATAATAATTCACAGATATGCCATTGAACATTCACCATACATATCTACTTTGAAAATGACAAAGAAGGAAAAATTGTCTGTTCCCGCTGCATTTTTTTTATTGTTTTGCGTAAGTAATGGGAATGGTAACTTTGATTGTTGAACATTTTCCGTTGTTCTTGTGAAATTCGAAGCATTTACATGAATGCTCACGTGCATATGTGTGTAATAAGCTTAGAATGAACTGTGTGTGAGTGTATAGAAGAAAAAAAAAAACAAAATCGGTGGAGATTGAGTGGCGAACGGCACGTGAGCTGACTATATGTACCCATATTTATTATCAGTTTCTTCCAAGAAAGGCATAGACAAAACGAAGATAAAATAGAGAATGTGCTATTTCTGTATTTACATTACATCATTTGGCTACACCATTAGTGGCCGGCCGGCCAGTCAATACACAAATTGAGTTGTTTGCAAACTGACACAGCATTAAATTGACAGCAAAATGCATTCTCAATTGGCTGCAAATGGTTCTCTTATTATTTCTATTTTACCTGTACTACTATTTTGTTTGCCTTCGCGATTTAAGTGATTGTAAAACCGCCTTCGCGTTTTGTAAACTAAAAAATGGAATTTCATTAGCATGATACGGAATCCTGGAATCATTGCGAGTTTTCAAACAATCATTATCTCTCGTCGCAAGCCGATAATAATCGATTGGAGCTAATCGATAGCATTTGATTTATGCATGTAATGTATGCATAAAATGTTGTAGTTCTGCGAATCAAGTATTATTAACAACTCTCCTATTCGTTTTGAATTTGACAACTGATATTGAGCACAAACACCACCTAGATAATCTAAGGATAATGATAATACAATCAAGTAAACTCTCCATTCTGTCAAATGTCATACTGAAGCATAACATATGGACATCACGAACCCGCCATAGGTTCTTTAGAGGGCGCTTTGGTCAACCGAGATCCAACCAAATACATGTATCAGTATTCCATTGTTGATTAATAAGTAATTTCTAGGAATGTTTGTTCTGACTGTTTGCTGAATGTAATACTGCCCTGAAATTCAAGAGATAAAAACTCGTAAAATATTCTCAACTGCTTCCCTGCTTATGATAATTCTAGCTTTATGTATTTGTCTTCAGATGAAATGTTTCATCGCACAGTGAACACTATAAATGAGTAGTTTGGAGCGAAAATGTAATACAGAAAAGTTACGCGGAAAAGGGATAGCTATATAGCGAAGGGCTTACGACGCCTGAAATACGGCAATATTTTCATATATTTCTATATTTCAGTCATATTCCGTCATATTTCAAATATTTGGAATATTTGATATATTTAAGGCATATTTAAGCTACATTTTGACGTTTTTTGGTATTACCCGATATTATTTTCACTATATCTATACGAAATATTTCTCTCAATTTTCAAATATATGAGATATTTGAAATATAGCCAAATATGTCAAACATACGAAATATCAAGATGCATTTTGTAAATTAATAATGCTTCAATATTTGAAATATTTGACATATTTGAAGATATTTCATATATATTTGTTCGTCGCAAGCCCTTCGCTATATAGTATACTGGTATACTATATAGCTATCCCTTTTCCGTGCAACTTTTCTGTATTACATTTTCGCTCCAAACTACTCAAATGTGTGTCTGATCACTCTATTTTGGTTCTTGTCTTCTTGAAAACCATTTCGCAAGAAGAGTTATGACGACACAGCGAATGTCAAGATCAAAACAAAACCCGTAAAAATCCACACGCTAAACATGTGCGCATATATATGGTTTTTGGTTTTGGATTTGGATTGTGAATGTAGTCTTGAATTTGCTATTCAACATCTACAAAACAAGATCTCTCACTCGATTGTAAAAGTGGTATTTTAAAATAAAGTTGGCTCACAAACGATTTCATCATCGTCAGAATGAGAACGCAGATTTAAGACAGCACAGCATACCACACTGCAACATTTATGAGTGTAAAGACTAATATTGAGATGGGGCAATATAGAGGTTTCAACTATTTTAAGATGAATT